TCCCCCCCCCCCCCCCCGGACTCTATTTTCTTAAAAATTTAATTATTCTTTCAAAATTACACAAACCCAAATTAAAGGAACTAATGTGCTACTTTAATTTTTCACACAAGAACAAAATACTGAAATTTGAGCTCGATAACTAAAAAGAAAGTTTCCTTTCTACAACATGAAAGAAATTACTCATTTTGTTGAATGAAAGAAAATATTTTTTTCTACATCATGAATAGAAAATACGCAATTCATTGAAATGAAAGAAAATACTTTATCTACATATTGAAAAGAAAGTACTCGTTTGTTAAAATGAAAGAAAATATTTTTTCTACATCAGGAAAAGAAAATAGTTAGTTTGTTAAAATGAAAGAAAATACTTTTTCTACGTCATGGAAAGAAAGCATTTTTTTTTTGTTGAAATGAAAGAAAATATTTTTTCTACATAATGAAAAAGAAAGTACTCGTTTTGTTTAAATGAAAGAAAATACTTTTTGTACATCATGAAAAAGAAAGTACTCGTTTTGTCGAAATGAAAGAAAATACTTTTTCTACATCATGAAAAGAAAGTACTCGTTTTGTTAAATGAAAGTAAATACTGTATCATGAAAAGAATATACTCATTTTGATGAAATAAAAAAAAGTATTCTATTTACAACATGAAAAGAAAGTATTCTTAATAATACTTCTATTTCGGGTGGGTGGTGGGCAAGGTTAGGGTGGGTGGGGTGGGGTAGGAGGTAGGGGGTTGGGGTGGGTGGGTAGGGTTGGTTTGGGGGTGGGGTGGGTGAGGGTGAGTTATTGGGGGTTGGTGGGGATGGGGAATAGGGTGGAGAAGGTTGAAAAAGAATTTTAGAAAATGAGTTCATGATAGGGAAAACATTTTCCTTCAATTGGAGGAAAATGAGTTCATGAGGAAAAATGTTTTCCAAAACATTTGAGTTCATGAGGAAAATGTTTTCCAAAACATTTAAGCCAACCAAACATAGAAAAATTGGAAAACATTTTCCGGAAAATGTTTTCCCTCATACCAAACACACCCTCTATCTTGTTATCTTTTGCCCACATGCAATTTAAATAAATTTTCGTTAGTACACACATATCTTTGTGTTTGCTCAAGTGATGTTAAAGCCATTTTCTCTTAATCATCTGCATCCATCTTTAAAAAGTGGCAACATGATGAGACAATTGAATAGGTATGATGTGAGAATCCTAAAATCTAGCATGAAGTCATGAACAGCTCATTGAAGCTATATTTTAATAGTAACTAACTAGTGAAAGGATGTAGATTAATACATAAAGTTCTGCCTAAAATTTTGGTTTCTGTAATAGCAATTAGATAGACCGGATGGTGAAGCTTGAAACATAGAGCTCCACATAACCAGTTCAAATTCGAGATGATATTCCTTCAAATGGAAATTAGAAATTATAATACTACAACCCATGGACAGCAGCCTTGAAACAGAAAAACACCAACTCACACCACATCGGTACTCTTAAACTGAATGTAAAAATCATGCCTGAGTTCAGTGGTGAAGATAGCAAGAGCAATGGTGGAGAACCTGGACGAAAGGTATATATGGCCAGCCTTCAGTATAGAGGTTGGCTATTATAGGATATCATTATGCTGATAAAGTTACTAAACTACAACCAAGAACCTCACAATGAAAATAGGCTTCTTGACTAATCAGCAAAGTCTCTCAGAGAAGTGCAACCATAAAATTTAATAAGTGATTGGGAAGAAGAGCCTTTGTCATGTGTGACTTCTAGCATCACAAGCTCCTTTTTTGTTAGTTGGCTGCTATATTCCAATCACATCACATAAGAAACCGCAAAAATGCATGCATATAAATGGCATTGGGTCCTTCATTTAGAACATAGGATATAAACAGATCCAGATATCTAAAAGAAGAAGAAAGTAATAATCAAGAGTCTACCCAAACTTCACAAACAAAGCTAAAAGAGAAAGGGATAATGCAATTACCGCTTTCGCGAGCTTGCCTCCTTACTGACTTCTGAATCATCAAATGTGTAATCTGTTTCTGCACTGAAACAGATAAGTGACCATCAGAACAGGGGGATGGTAAAAACAAAAGAACTGTTCCAGTAAAATGCTCAGCTCACCACTATGTCATCCTATTAAGACATCAGACAGGTATGTTACTGTGCCCATAAGATTAGAAATTCATCTTGCATAGTTGTAACAATATCCTTGGTGGAAGTTGAAAAGCTGATGGTTTTGAGTCCTAATAAATATATTTACAGAACATAATTTAAGTCTTTCTATAACTTTTAAGTAATGTAATCTAGAGAGGAAATCTATAACGTCAACAAAGTGATAGACAATTTGGAGTAACAACTTTTCAAGCTACAGACTGGCCAAAGTGACAATTCCTTGTTGAATTTACCTGCTACCAGAGGCAGGATACAAAACTTTAAGCTCTATGATTTCATCCTTCAAGGTTCTTATTATTAAATGCATTGTATTTTAAAATTATGGGTTGATATCTACTATTTGTTGCAACTTTAGTAGATGTTTATACATAAATTTATGCTCCTCATTAGAAGTACTGGTTCAGATGAACTCAATGCTGCAACGCTACACCCGCTTCTACCTGCTACCCTATAATAAGACTATTTTGACACTAATTGTCAACTTAGCACAACCCTCCTCCTTTATCTCGATTACAAAAAGTTATACATAATAATTTACAAGGCTAACATGCTTGGAGTTATACATTAGCATAGGCAGGAATGTGTAAATATCATCTACTCTCATTTAATTCTCCTGTACCCTAGTTCTCTTCTACTCGAGCTAGTGATACAGTAACAATTGGAGTACATAATATAGAGCAATAGAATAAAGAAATAAACTTTCTTCTAAGTGCTTAAAGAATAAAAAGGAAAAAGGTGGAAGAGCAGACCCACATGAGATTAGAGGAAGCATAGATTGTTTGAGCAGGCCAGCTGAAGTCAATAGTGGCCGGGGACTGGAAATCAGCGACGGCGACGGAGGCGGCGGAAGTGATATCAGTCATCAACTCATAATCAAATAGCCAATTGGGATTCCCACTTGAATCAATCTCCATCAGGTAAACTTGTGTTCTTCAGTTCCTCAATTTGCTCTGAACACTATAAGGAATAATTGAGTAAAGTAGTAATAGTAGCAGTAGTTGAAATGATAGCATCAGAAATATATATATCATTTTCTTTGGTTGCTCAAATGGATGAGGACGGCGGAGAATTGACGGCAGCAATGAGAATGACAAAGTGCATTTCGTCATTAAATGGATTTTCTAACTCCTCAAAAGTAAACGCTCTTTTGTAAAAGTGGCATGATTTTTGCTGCTTCACTACATCAGTAGCTTTCATTCATCAATCATCATTTTGAAATTGCAACAACTATGGGTAAGCTTCTATTTGGAATTATCTCACATGTCTTACTTATAAACCTAAACTGTAACTACCTTTCTTCAATTTAATACTAGGCGCATATAGTATGTACGTAATGTTATAAATAGAGTTCTATTTATGGTGAATGTCTATATTTAGAGAGATTCTAGGGTTCATTGCTTGGCGGCTAAGTCACCCTCTCCCTATAAATAGAGGGTTCTATTCTGTTGTAATTCATCCCAAATATTAATAAGAATTCTCTCTCCCCACTTTTCCCTATTGAGTAGAAGCTTTGGGATTGATCATAATGATTGTCAATTGTTCTATGAATTTCCTTCATGCTTAAATTTTGGATTTAAGGTAAGTATTTTACTTTATTTTTCTCTTTTAAATTCTTGAAATTCTATAATTTGATTTTATATACAAGCAAAGACAACAAAGTTTGATTATAACTCTAATGGAGTTTGTAAGTAATTATTAGCACCTGAAGTGGTAAAAATTTCTATGTCTTGCCATGATCAAAGTCATGTATGATCGTGAGCACAAAAAGTGGAAACCCGTCCCATTGAATTTGCTCCATTCTCATTCCCTTAAGAGGATGTGATAGCAGTATGTGATAAGTCTGAAAGAAGACAAAATTATCAATATGAATATATCAATGGATGTGGACGTGGCAATAGACGAAATTATAATCGTCATCATTGGGATAATGAGAATAATAAGGATTCTCAAAATAAACCTTCACTCTGTGAAAGTAATATTTGTCATCGATTTGACATGAGATTTTATAAAGCACATACAGAGACTATGGTCAATTCATGATGTGAATGTGACAACATCCGATTTATGAATACATATTCATTCTTGAAAGAATATGAACGTGCTAGTGGTAGTGAATATACCACACTCACCTCTAGAAGGAGGTTTGAGATGATATAAGAAAATAATGTCATTATTATGGCTTGAATGGTCATTGGTCACGTACCTATTGTACGCCAAAATATTTTGGTAATGTGATTATTAAAGAATAATAGTAATGCAAGAAACAGATCTTGCATATAATTTTTACCATAACCATAATGGTATAACTTTCTCTTTAAAAGAGATATTCACCATATGGATGTTGATGAATATGTGGTAGTACCAAATTAATTGAGAGCTCTAGAAGAGCCAGTTATACTATTTTGGAGAAAATTGATTATCAATAAGACGTTGTGTTGTAGTAAGTCTCAAAGAAACTTATATTAAGTTTCTAAAGTATTCGCGAAAGCGGTTGGTTATATTGAGACTATAAATAAAGAAAAGATTTAATATCTTTTATTACTACAACTTGTAGCGGGGTAATATGTATGTGAAAAGTTACCCGCTTTATTCTCCAGTTTGTACTACACAAACAAAAGAATGCCACAATAAAGTAGAAGTTTATTGATATAAAAATCCATATCATAATAAACTTGGAGTTTATTCATAATTACACACGTCATGGTGTAAAGCTAAAGTTTATCAATATTGGTAATTTATTCAGTTGGCATAATTGGTTTAGCCATATCTATTTAAGTATGATGTGCAAAAAAATAAAAGAGAATTCACATGGGTAAATATTAAAGAACTAGAAAGTTCTTTACGAATTCTCTTATGTTGGCTGTTCTCATTAATTAATATACCAACTAAAATTGGGATTGAATCCCAGAATGCTGGAAATATCAAAGGTGAATATGGGCCCGATCACCTGCCATGTATACCACATAAGATGCATCTATGAGATGGTTACATGTGCGATTATTATTAACCCGCAACATGGTGTTTTGCGAAGTAACTTGCTCAATAATTTAATTTCGAGCATAATTTCCAGATTTCCTATTCAAGATAGTTTATCTTGATAAGTTGGCTTACATCACAGTTGGTTTAGCAAAATAATTTATTGAGTGCCTCTACTTAATAGCTAAACTATTGCTTATGAGAACAAAGTTATCTATATCAGTTTGATATAGGTTATATACGAAAGTATATTACATTCTCCCCTCACAAGTGGTTCAGGATCAGGAACCAGATAATTCCATCTTATTATTATTGACGTGCAGTGTATATTTTAATTAACACCATAACGCACAAAGATGAGTTCTTAAAGTTGAGGAAACAAGTTAGTTTTTCTAACATGAGGGGGAGACATGATAAACAGTTGAGAAAAAGTTAAGTGGAATGAATTATCATTTGTACATCTAGATCCTCGAATAAGATAATATGAACTCGAGGTTCATAAAAAAGATAATTTATTTGCAATATATTGCAAAGCATGCCAGACGCATTTGCTGACCCAAAGAAAGTAACTATATTCTCATTGCAAATGCTCCTATTAAGTCCTAGAAGGACAAAGTCTATAGTAAGCTTAAAGCGTATAGACGATCAGTTTCAAATAAACTTCTTGATAAAGAAGATAAGCAAATGATCAAAATGATCATAACAAAGGAGGCAAGTGATCTAGAAGATCACATGACATAACACTTCATAAAATCTCATGAGAGATTCAGGTACCTGAATATATGAATGAAGAGATCTCTATGTTATGTCATTATGAAAATATATTAAAACTGATATAAAATGTTTGTCGACGACATCTATGATAGCGCTAAGTATAGATGAGGATCTTAAGTCTGGCGCTTACAGACACAAAAATATTGGCCAAATAGAAGAGACACAATTCAAATAGAATTGGTTTCATATGAAAGACATGTAGTTTTGAACATGTAGTTCAAACACTTGAATAAAGTCAATGGTATGTGCAATCAGTTTTCAATATCTTATATGTCTAGCATGACATGAAAACTTGATATGCATCTAAAGTCTATTATATGACTTATATGATGTGACGACCCAAAGGGTCATCACCGGATTTCTCTCTTTTCCATGCTTCCGAGGCCTTGAAAACCTCGCTTTTAGTTGCCTCAATTTGCATGCGCAGTCCGGGCGCGAAGCCGGAAAGCTTTTATGTTGAAATATGTGAACTTTGTGAAAAATTTGAAGAATTTTGATATTAATATTGCTAAAGTTGACTTTGGTCAACATTTTTGGTAAACGGACCCGGACCCGTGATTAGGCGGTCCCGGAGGGTCCGTAGAAAAATATGGGACTCGGGCATATGCCCGGAGTCGAATTTCGAGGTCGAGAGCCCGAGAAATGAATTTTTCTGTGAAATTATTTTTCTGAAATTATTAAGGAAAATGGAAATGAAAATTGATAAAAAGACCATGGTATCGGGCTCGTATTTTGGTTCCGACGCCCGGTACAAGTCTTAAATATGTGTTAAGCGCTTCCTGTGAAGTTTGGTCGAAATCGGATGTCATTTGACGTGTTTCGGACCTAAATATCTAAAATTTGAAGTTATGAAGTTTGAAATGAAAATGACGAATTTTGAAGGCCTTTTCCTCCATAGCTTCTTAGGTAAGTGTTCTTAACTTCATCCTCTCTTAATTTCTTCATCTAATCACTAAATTTCTAGCCCTAAATCATGAAATCAAAGTAGAATTAGGGGTTTTGGGTAGAGTTAGGGTTTTGAGAATTTTGGGTGATTCAACCTCAATTTGGGGTCGAATCTTGAAATAAATTATATATTTGAACTCGTAGGGTTATGGGTGATTGGGTTTTGGTCCGAGCCTCGTGTTTGGACCATGTGGGACCGGTGTCGTATTTTGGTATTTTTGGAAGAATGATAGGAATTTCATTTCTAGGCTATGGGATTATGTTTTTGAGCCCTTATTGATATTATTGAACTAATTATGCCTAGATATCATTATTTCGGAGTTGGATTGTAGAGGAAAGGCGGTATTAGAGAGTTGATTGTTATTCTTGGACCGAGGTAAGTGTTTGTTCTAACTTTGGCTTGAGGGAATAGGATTAGGATGTTATTTGCTACTTGCTAAATGTGGAGTATGGTGTATAGGCATGGTGACGGTTGTCTATGCACCGGAGTCTAGCATGACCGTGAGTCTTAATTGCTTTTAATTCGAATGATGCGACACGACTTCCTTGTTTAATTGATAAATTTCATATAATGTGAACGGTTGAGGAAGAATTGTGATTGGTATATTTTGGAGCGTTGGCTCGAACAAGAATGTAATAGTTGAGAAAGAAGTGATTTAAAAGAGGATGTGTAGTGATTATTCCCTTGCCGGGACATGTAGACTATTATTATGTACTCTCCCTTGCCGGGATATTTGGACTGTTAGCTGTATCCTTGCCGGGTTAAAGTGTTATGTTGTCGAATTCCCCTAATGGGGCCTTCTTTACAAAGTCAGATATTTTGGACTATAATATGGGATCGTGTGGCACGCAGTCCACTTATATACTATGATATGGGATCGTGTGGCACGCCGTCCACTTATGAATTAAGAAATGGGATCGTGTGGCGAGCCGACCACTTATATATGAGCTATGGTATTGAGATAGTTTCGTCGCTATATCCGTTGATCTATATACGCTGTATTTTCCCCGAGCATGCCCCCTTTCCCTTTTTAGTCGATATTCTCTGTTGTTATTTCTGTTGCCTTTGTATATATATACCTGCACAGGTTGTTTTTGGTAGGTCCTGTCTAGCCTCGTCACTACTTCGCTGGGGTTAGGCCAGGCACTTACCAGCACATGGGGTCGGTTGTGCTGATGCTACACTTCTGTGCTTTTTGCACAGATCATAGTACCGGAGCAGGAGCCTTTGGTCAGCAGTAGGAGCGTTGGGAGCTTACTTCAGTCCGGAGATTTCCGAGGTAGCTTGCTGGCGTCCGCATGGCCCGGAGTCTCTATTATCACTGTCTTTCGTTTGATTTCCCTTGTATCGGATCAGACAGTACTTTATTCTTATTCAGACTTTGTTTTTAGCATTCAGTAGAAGTTCGTGAGTTAGTGACACCAGATCTAGGTAGAGGTGTATTTGAATTTCCGCACTTGGTTTCAGTTATTTATGTATCGAGACTTCCGCTTTTATATTAATTGCCTCGTTCTTCTTTATACTGTTAATGATGTTGAGAGA